AAAAAAAAAAAAAAAAAGAGTAGAAACCTGATTCTTCTGATCCATACTGACTCTCTAGTACCTTCTAGAACAGTGCCTGGCACATATAAGCCCTCAAATATTGGTTGAGACTGGGCACTATGGCTCACATTTTGGGAGGCTGAGGTGGAAGGACTGCTTGAGGCCAGGAGTTTGAGACTAACCTGAGAAATACAAGACTCTGTACCTACAAAAATAAGAAAAATTAGTCAAAGGTGGTGGTGTGTGTCTATAGTCCCAGCTACTCCAAGGGCTGAGGCTAGAGGATCTCTGGAGCCCAGAAGTTTGAGGTTGCAGTGAGCTATGATGATACCACTGCACTCTAGCCCAGGTAACAGAGTGACACAGTCTCAAAAAAAAGAAAGGAAGGAAGGGAGGAAAGAAAGAAAAAAATAAGAAAGATAAATTGGTTGAATGTAGGGATGTATACCAGTTAGTCTGGTGGGTCATAAAAGTGGGAACTGGCTGTGACTCCACTGCCACACTCCAAAAGCTCAGCAGAGGCCTGTCTAAGGCCGTGCTAAATAAATGAGCTCCAGAGCTCACTGAGTGGGATCTGGGTCATGTTCATTAAATTCATAAGCCTCGCTAGGGAAAGGGATTGTAGTGCCTTCTTGAAAAGATGAGAGAGTGGAAATGAAAAACCACTGATGCAAAGCCTGACACAGGGTGGGTTGTCAGTGTTTCTCCTCTTTCTGTCCCTTCTTGACTTCCTGCAGAGCTTCAAGATGGACTGGCTGCCAAGTTGAGGGAGTCTGTACTTAAGTCAGGCTCTGACCTGGCCTTCCCTCCATGGCTGAATACACTCCCTAGATGGGGTGCTCTGTGGATGGATCCGTGGAGTCAGGAGCTGGGGCCTTCAGTGATGCCTATAGCTTTCTGGCTCCCCCTTATGGTCTGCTGGAGAAGAACAGGACTTAAAGGGCCTGCCCTATCACCAAAGACCATGGAGTCCTAGCCAAGTTCACTCCTCTTTCTGGGACTTAGCATCCCCTCTCTGTATAGTGGATACAATAACTATTATCCATCCTCTCCTGGAGCTACTCTGATAACTAAACAAAAGGGCAGGTGATGCAAATGCAAATGGATGTTCCTAGCATGAACACAGGTGCCCAGTGAACAGCTGATGGATGAATAAATTAATGAATGAATATAAGAACTGTCACCAAGGTCAGATAGGATGTGAACCAGAGCAAAGAATAGATTTGGTGCCAGTACCCTCCTGAAGCCTAAGTCTGGACAACACTGTTCAAAACCAGGCCCCTGGGAGCTCCAGCCTGTCCCAACCCAGCTGTTGCTTCCTGAACAATGGCCTGTGATGGGAGAACCTAGGGAAGAAGGGTAGAGCAGAGACCAAGGGGCTTGGGGAAGGCAGTGGGAATACAGAAAGGAAATGTGAGAGTCTGGGAGACAATGTCAGGAATGGAAATGGGGAGGGAGGGCAAGGAGAATAGGGCTATGGGAAGAGGCCAGGACACTGGCTGGGAGAGCGGAATAGAAGAGTATGGACTCTAGGTGACACAGTTGAGTAGGATTCCTGCAGGTTCTGAGAAAGTGTCTGTTATATGACTAAAGGGAAAATGGATCAAGAGGTTAGAACAGGAGAGTCCAGCAGATTGGGGGTAAAGAGAGAATCTCATCCATCCTCTGCCCTTTGGTTTCCCAACCCCGCTGAATGCTCACCAGAAACACGCCGTGGGCATACAAGTGGATCCCCAGCTGGATGCCATTGACAATCTTCTCTCGGGCCCACTTAGGGATCCCAAAATTGGCAATCAGAGCCATGACTGGAACTGCAAAGAACCTGAAAAGAGAGGCACTAGGTCAAGAGAGACACTGCCCCTGTCCTCTACCCCATCCCACAGCCCCACCTCCCCTGCCATACACACACATAGGGCCCAGGCAGGTCCCAAACTGAAGGGAAGCCAGTGTGACCTTCAGAAGCCAGAGGTTGAAATGGGACAGGAATCCTACTGGCTGGAATATTCTGGGGAGCAAAGACTAGTTTAAATTTAACTTGGTTCTCCCTACCCCAGATCCTGTCATTTGATAGGAAATCAATAGATATTTAATGAATTAATTAACAAATGATCTTAAGGAATTATTGCATGCCAAGCCCATATCTAAGCATTTAACATATATAAACTCATTTAACTCTCACAGTGACTATCTGAGGCAGGTATAATTTCCACCCCCATTAATAGGAGAGAAAATTGAGGCAAAGAGAAATTAATGGACTTGTCTGAGATCACATAGCTTATAAGTTTTAGAGCTAGGATCTGAACCCAGGCTGGCTCAGAAGTCAACTACCTTCTGGCTATATTATATTGAGCAATGAAAATTACATTTTTTATCCAACATTTACTATGCACCAGACACTAAGCCATTATATATTGCCCTATCCATGATCAAGACAACCTTTTGTAGGAGATACTCTTGACAACTGTGTTTTATGGGTAAGCAACCTGATATACTACTTGTAAACATAATTTTTTGGGTTTTTTGCAGTTTTTGGCCAGGGCTGGGTTTGAACCCGCCACCTTGGGCATATGGAGCTGGTGCCCTACTCCGTTGAGCCACAGGCGCCGCCCAAAAGTAATTTTTTTTTTTTTTTTGAAACAGAGCCTCAAGCTTTTGCCCGGGTAGAGTGCAATGGCATCTCAGCTCACAGCAACCTCCAACTCCTGGGCTCAAGCAAGTCTCCTGCCTCCACCTCCCAAGTAGCTGGG